TTTTCTCTACGAGGACGGTCAAACACTGCAGTAGGTTGCCCAAAGAGGTTGTGCCATCTCCATCACTGGAGGTTTTCAAGATCAGGCTGGATAAAACCCTTAGCAACGTGGTCTGACCTTGTAGCTGACTCTGCTTTGAGCATCACATTGGACTAGAGACCTCCTGAGATCCCTTCCATTCTGAATTATTCTATGAATTGTGCAATCCTAATATAGTATCACAATTCTGTGCTATTTTAAAGCTGGGATAGTAATAGCAAAATCTTCTTAATTGTTCTGAATATTTAAATGATTTGGCTGTGCATCACTCTTGCTTTTGGAACCCAGAACTGCTACATATGCTCTGTACGTTCTCCAAACAGCTTGTATTTGTGCTTATTTGCTGGTATGACGTGCTAACTGTGCAAAAAATTTTGGACTCTCGCCTTAGAATATAGAGACCTGCCAACAGAAAATGAAGGCTACATAGTGCTGCAAATGCTTTCTCTGTCTATGGAAAGTGCCTCTTATGTGCCAGAAAGAAGCATTTATACCACATGCTTTTTTACTGCTTCTCACATCTGTTAACATTTACATGTGTCAGAAAACAATACCTGAACAGTAAAGGGAAGGGATACATGAAGTTCAAGGGCGTTGCATCAAGAAAAAGGACATGTTATATCGCACTGGTGCATTGGAATAAAAAAAAAATTTCTTGGACTTGTCACATATATCTAATAGGTGGGCATAGTCTGTGTATACTATCTATGAATACATTTCCATACCTGAATTGGATGACCCAAATAGCCAGTAAATTGAACCGAGCCCATGAAAGGGTCAAGGAGTGGCAGTCAGGAAGTGAAAGAATTATAACTTCCTTGGTACATACAAAAAGAATAAAATTTTATTTCATTTAAGGCAGGATTTATATCAAAATCTTCAAAGTTAGATTCCTAAATATGAAATTGCCTACTTATATTGAAATATTTTGCTTCTTTGATAATCTTCTCTTCAGCTGCCTTTTTGTTAGCACAAAAGGAGTAGGTTGGCTGACAAATGTTGCTGTATATCCTCAGTCCTCAGGCACTACTGTATTAGACTGCGTTTCCAAGAATATTTCTTTGAGGTTGTATTGTGAAAATCCTGAGACACAGTGTAGTACAGGATTTTGTATGACGTGGCAGTTCTTATGGATGTTACCACTGGCAAATGATTTAGAAGAACAACGAATTACAGAGGAACTGATCCCTGATCTGCCAAACTCAGAAGGAGAAAAAGCAGTATTTGATACCTTTATAAAAATTGCTGATTGCATTGGTTGCATTCGTACCACTAATACTTTAGACATCTCTTTGGGTACCAGTGTTGTGTAGTAGGCTGTTCTTTGATACCTAACCCTGATTTTCCAAAATGCACCTGCAATAAAGAGCACAGTTTCTCCCCTACTACTATTGTTATTGCTTAATATTGAGCTCTGCATGGAAAGTGACAGAAAAATATCTATTTTCCTGAGTTTTCTGAGCCTAGAAAGAAGTGTTGGCTAAAAGAGATAAATAACCTTGAATTGAGTCCTACCTAACATGTAGTTGTAATAAAGACAGAGGTCTATTTTTGCTTTTTGCTATATTTCCACTAGATGATGTATCTCCAAAACATTATTTTTGTGATGAAATTCTGCTCTTACAAACCGATAACAAGTCTTATGCTGAAATTATTATGAAAGTATGAGTTCCACACTCACTACACTGAAAAAGCCTTCCACTAGGTCTGTGAAGATGCAGTGAATAATCACATAAGGCATATAGTTTTCTTGCCCCCAAATTTGAAACTTATGGCATAACCAAAACCACCATATGAATGGTATGTGCATACATATTTTTGGTTTTGAGTCAGGGATATGAAGGATCTGTACCAGTTTTCCTCTGTAAGTTATACAAGAAGGTTGTGAGACACCCAAAGAAACACTTTATAGTTTAAGCTGATGAGAAATCAGGTGGTGGAAAATAGCAAGGAAGAAAGATCTTCATCCAGAAATATTTCTTAAGAAAAAAAAAGACATTAAGATCTGATAAGACTTGCATTCCGGCCTTTGTGCTTTGTAGAGCAGCTTTATCACTACACAGAGTTGTGCTGCTTGGTCTTCCTGCCAGTTGAAGTCAGTGGTGAAACTTCCACTGACTTCTGTGGTTGCTGCCCCTGGCCCAACATTTGCATGCAAATAAAATATAAGAATATAAAGCTTTTTCATATAATTTCATCTCATGTCATTTTACCTCTGGTGTATCCCTTCAGGAGTGTTCACACTTCAATAATTCTTATCTAGCTATTTGTACAGAGACATCTGATTAAATTAATGGAAATTATAGGAAGAATTACTAGGAAAAAAAAAATCATTGATGCTTAATTTACGTAATACTCTTCTTGACACAGTTCAGGCCCATCACAGGCACCCTTACAAGTTACATGTAGGGGTCAAAGGGTGAAAGGTGACTGGCAAGATGCTTGTTTTGTACATTTGGCTAACACAAATACTTCCTCAAGTATAAAATGCTTTGATCTCTCTAAGCAAATGCCATATGTGTACAGCTGTGGCCCATGCCTCACGATTGCTGGAAGGTTAGAAAAAGGTAGCATACGAATTTGATGTCTGCATTCAATTTATGCTTTTATATTTAGCAGTTCATAATTTTGTGTAATATTTTAACTGTATGAAAAATATGCACCGTAGTTGAGTGATAACAGATTTCTCTGTGGTTTGATTCAACATTGTTTGGGTGAACACAGAATCCTAAGTATTGCAGACTGAAAATATAGGTTTTAATTAGAGCTGTCTGAGCTTCAAAATACCTAACGCACATTAAGCTTGGCTGATTTTCAGAAATCCAAGGATTGCGTGGAGCTGATTTAAGCTAAGCAAGACTCTTCTGTTTCCCAGCATATATTGCACTTGCAGTTGCATCACTGACTTGCAAGACGCTGAGGCAGTGAGATCCAAACCCATTATGAATGGTTTTCTGATATGTAAAAATGTTTTATCATGAAGGCCTGTCTTATGTCATACTTCTGTTGAACAATACCTTACTCCAAGTGAATTTGCATTGAAAAAATTGAATGACTCCCAGAGTAAAAGATCTGTTCCACATGACTGAAAAGCTAAATCAGCTCCAAAAGTTTGGCGCCTTTTTGAGCTTTTGTTTTTTACTTTTACATGCAAATGTTTAAGAATGATATGCCCAGATCTGTATCCCTCAAGCAGTTTAATGTGAGTGGTTTGCTATGACAAGAAAGAAACCTGCTGCAGTCAATGGGACACGAGGGTCCATTCACATGGATCCAGTTTCACGATCAAGGCCAAAAGAAAGCTTTGTTTATTAAAAGTCTTGAGCATGTACAAATATACTAGTGTACCTGGGGGGGTAAACCATGATTTCAATTCAAGCATATGCAATTTCTACTTACAAGAAAAAATCCAAGTCACAACCAACAGACAGGTGTGATACAATAAACAGAAAACCAGACATGAAAATACCAAATTACAGGTACAAATATGATAAAGTATAAAGCGTTGTGCTCTATGTGTATGTTAATACATATAAGTATACAAAAGTACACATATATAGGTATACCTACATACATATATAATACAGTGTTGTTAATATGATTTTTAGTATTTTGTTTATTATATGTGAGTAAATTCATGCAATTGTTCTAGATATAATTTGAATATTATTGAAATAATAGCATACTTATTTGTTTTTCTTATGCTGTTTCTCTTTTGGTTTTTTGCTAGCTCCTACTGGCCATGGTAGGCTCTACAGATGAAACTCTGCAGGAGGCAGCAGCTGGTTGCATAGCAAACATTCGCAGATTGGCTCTAGCAACAGAAAAGGCAAAGTATGGCTGATGCTTCAGCAGCTTTTACCAACACACTTGTTTTCCAATACAGCTACATTTAAATACATTATTACTCCTTCTAGCATCTGCATTTCATAGCAGAGCTCATTTATATGAGGATAATTTAATAACAAAAATAAATCTGTGGAAAATTATGTTTGTTTTTACATTATTGGTTTGTCACGTCTAGGTTTTATAAAGCACTCACACCTAGTTTTGTGTGTCTTTTAGTATTACATCTTTCAAAAGACTGTCAGTTAAGATATGTCAAAGACTTCTACAATTAATATGCTTGTATTTGAAATTCACTGTAGATATAAATGGGTTTGCATATCTGTGACATTACAATAAATTTTGCTTCACTGCATGTGTGGTTGTGCAGTGATTTATGAAAGTCTTGAACAATTCCCTTCGTGCTAAACTTGTCCAATCATCCTGTCATTATGTTTTTGTGTGTTTGATCGCTTGCAATTCACAGGAGAGGACAAAGCACAGATACATCAATCTCACATCTGGTGTTATATAAGGACTGCAAACAGCTGTAGCAGTAGACATCACTCCAAATTTCCTCTTTCTACCAACATCAAACAAAATAGTGCTTAATTTTGTAAGTAGCTGGTGAAATGCGTTTTAATTAACATGTGTTTAACTCAAATTTAAATTTACCAGCTGTAAATAAAATGTGGAGAATTACATTTACGTTTACACATTATCTTATTGTGTTTTTTTGTTTTTAAACTGAGGACAGCATTGTATTGATGTAGTTATTTTATTTTTCTGCATGAAATTATATTCAGAATTAGAGTTGCTTTCAATAACCACATAAACAATGATATTATAGATTGCAGACCCACTGTACATACCATGCTCAACAAATAATACTAAAGCATTTCCTTGAGAGCAGTAATGTCTTAATTACAAGAACAGACTGCTGACAAAACTGAAAAAACCCAAATGTTTAAATAACTTGTGTTTATCAAGGACTCACTTCTGAATGATTTTTTTAATACCCTTAATAATTAACAATTTTCTTGTTTTGGAAGTAGTTTGTAATTTCATTATTTTTATTCTAACTAGCATGGCTACTCAAGGCAACAGTTTCACTCCAACAGAAGCTTCTAAGGCAGACAATGCAAATCCAGCTTTTTTATTTGTGTTTTCTCTGAAGCAGACGTGAAGGCTCATTTAACATTTCATTTTAGAATGATGCAATTCTGAAAAAGGAGGATTGCACTGGGCCCTTAGGGAAGGTGTAGAGAGTATCTTAAAGGAAACAAACTACAGACAGGTGCTGACAGTGTGGAGATCAAAATATTAATCCAAGTAGTATTTTTTGATCAATGCAAACACCAACATAGTCATGGGGTTGCCACAAGTTCCATCAGTAACCAGTGACCAAGCAAATACTATTTTAGGTATTTTCCAGCTCTGCCCTATAGACCTGGTATATATATCCATATTATTATACTGATGTCACAGCTGTAGTAGTATTATATGCTTCATCACTATACCCCAAAATACTTCTAAAATAAATGCTAATTGCCAAATTCATTTGGAAGAGGAGAGGCTTGATTTTATTTTTGTCTTTGCTGTGAGAGAAGCTGTAGATACAAATAGGTTATCACAGTCCTGCTTATGAAAAATACATAAAATGGTGGCTTATTTTTCTAACTGTCGAGGAGAAAAAAACTCCCTGACAATAACTGTTGTCCTTAACGTGACCTCTCGAGGCACTCTTGACTGTTTAGCGTGGATTTCAAATGGATTAAGTTATGAAGTAAACTTAATTTTATGATATAGGTGTCAGGGCAATAAATGTTATGTTCCTGACAATGAAATGGCTTCAGCTTGCCACTTCCGCTCACGCTGGTAGCCCTTCTGCCCTTGAGTAGTTGACCTGAAGTCTTTATTTTAAGGCCTCAGACAGTTAATCCCAGACTTAAGCTGACTTATTTGCGCTGTTTTCTTTTCCTTTATCATGCCTGCAGTTTTTAAATTCTGTACAAGGAGAAGAAATGCTGAAATCGATACAGATCACCACACAGGCAAAGGATCAGTATTAAAAAAATACATCTTTTTTGGCCCAAACTGGTGGATTCCACGTAATTAATACAAAGAGATTCAGTTGTTGGAAAATGAATAAATGAATGTGATCCCTGGCCTCTCTGAGCAGTGCAGTACAGCGTGTTCATTTGAAAAGCTTCCACTTTCTCCGCAGGGCTGTGTTGAGTTTCACAGCACTGCAGCCCTCTGAAAAGGGATCCTCACAAAGCTGGGTCCCACTTGCTGCTCACACACCCCTCCTGGCAGCGCCCGCCAGCCTATTCAAGCCCTGGCACCGACTCGAGCAGCCGCAGCCGCCCGGGCCCGGCATTCCCACTGCTTATAACCGGGCACCAGCCAGCTCCCGCTCCCCGGCTCCTGTGATTGCGAGGGAAATGCCTTCACTCCTTTCTCTTTCCACCAGCTGCTACTTGTCCACATAAACCTGTAGCCTCTTAGGAAATATGGTTATACTGAGCACTGGAGCTCAATATTATATTCAGTGCAGAGCAATTTGATGTACAAATTCAATATAGAGTCTTATTTTAGTTGCAAAAATGAAGTGACTTAAAAAGATCAGCCTTTGTCCTGCTCATTTGCCATCACCTGCTCAGTTTGCTCCCGCCTTGTTTTCTCTATGTGATTCCTGTATTTTCATGGTCTTGTACTAGGGTTTTTTTTTTTTTCGGTTTATTTACATTGATGTTACCATCAGCTGAGAGTATCCGTCACTTTTCTCAATTTTGGGAGCCAGCTCCCAGCTCTGCATGGAGCTCCAACTTACAGCCATAAAGCCAGGCCTGCTCTTCACCAGCTGCTCATTGTCAGCTTCGTTCCTCATTTTCATTAAAATGTCAGAAAACATAGAGGCCAAGTATGAAAAGTTGTCATGAGAAAATGTTCCTTTGAGTATGGAAATACTATAGGTGATGAGAAAAAAAGCAAGAGAAGAAATCTTTCACCTTTATGCAATTATTTCTGGAACCATAAAGGCCTACCACATCTTTCAATCTACACGTCTGTCAGCAGCAAGATAGCTTTTCTTCTACCACTCCGTGACTTTATGATTTATTGCTTGGTGACAGATAACCATTATCAAAAATTTAATTGTCCCAGGATGTTCAAACTACACATTTGAATCTGGGATTTATGTTCATTTCCTCTTAATGTTCATGCTAATGACAAGTGCATGTGTTCTGACATACAATATTGTCTCCAAGTTGTTAGGGAAATATAAACTTCACGGCCTGGGTGCAATGGATCTGCGATATATTAGGGGCTTTGTTATTTTGCTCTGTCACTGAAACTTTTCTTTGGCGAGTAAATGAGCTTGAGATTCACAGGGCTGTCTTGAGAATTGACTCACTAATTTGCTTCAGGCTAACTGATCGCTTTGTGTGAAAGCATGGTACCTCTTTCATTCCACATCTCCTAAAATGAGTCGAATGAGCTGCTGACGCTGGGGGTCAGATATGAATCATCCCAAGAGGCTGAACTAGATAATATGTTAGTTTAAGAATTTCATCTCATAATAAATTAAATGGTTGTTCCTTGCACATTTCCACCAAAATAATCTTTTTTTCACACATGACAGCAGGATGACTGCGATGGAAACATGTAATGTGTTTCTTCAGCAGTGGTATTCAAGTTTCCTTGCGGGCTGTTTGCAGAGCTTATTTCCAGAGTCAGAAGCTAAGTGCTCCCCCACTGTAAATTGTGGTTTGTCTCTTCTTTAGCCACTTAAGCTTTGCCACACACTGCTCAGGATCCAGAACAACAGAAGGAAGCAATGCTGCATCTTGGACATTTCTCAATTCAGACAACCTAATCTTCTGCTGTTCGGTGACCTGGCACATGCCAGGACCAGCGTGTCTGCAGCCGTAGCCATTGCAGTGGGAAGTTACATTGCACCATTTCTGAAGGAATTAATTTTACCAATTATGTTCCCTCCCCTGCTTAAACAGAGATGTTCCTCAATGCTCAGTATTTTGCTGCTTTGGCTATTGAAGCCAGCCAAAAGTCATCCTTTTTCATGAATCTTTTCCTTGAGTGCAACTTTACATTGTAATGTGTGCTTTTCATCCTATTGCCTAGTTATCAGTTCAGTAATACTCACAACTTGCTGGGAAGGATTTCCATGGACAGCATCACCATGGCTTGCGTTTATCCTCTTGACTTGTTCCTGCGCTATCTGCCGGACACCTTTCCATCGGCAAGTTCCTCTCTTTTTTCCTGTTGTTGTTGTTGGCAAGTTATGTGTTTTATCCTAGGCTACATGAAGCACAGTACCCTTCGGCTGCTTGATCTTTCTTCTACAATGACTGTAATCAATTGTACTTTGAACACAAATGTCTTCTTTCTGAAAGGTTCATAAACCCATGTAAGGAAGCTTAGACTTTGGCTACCAAATTATATGATATGGCCTAATCCTATCACCTTTGCAGTTCTCCAGTGTCACAAAACCATCTTCACTAATTTCATGTGTTTTCCGCCATCATTTGGGAATCCTGACACGGTGACAAGATAGTAGTCAGCCAGCCAAAACCTTTGCTTGTTGTCATTTTGAGTGTGTATTGGAAAAAGGCCAGAAGAATGACATTGTACTAGTGCTGAACCATGAAACAGTAGGCCATAAACCAGCAGCTGTCAGTCAACTCCCCATTGCGCCAGGATCCTGGAGTGCCTTTAAAGCTTCTCCACTCTTCATGAGGTGAGAATCTGCTGAGAAGCTTTGGGGGGTGGGGGGGGCAAAATTGTTCATTACAATCTTGATGGTGAGGTTTTGTCCAGCCATGCTGTGACACACCACACTTCTCCAAGGGGCTTGGTGAATGCAGGAGAGCAACACAGAGCACCTGTGATACAGTGGGTGCCTCTGGCAGCAGCATTTTGCTCCGATGGCTGAGCCTTGAACTGCACCTTCTAATACCCTGATTAAATAACGAGGGATTTGTGTACTGCTTCTGA